CCGCCTCCAACACTGAGAGCCCTAACGGTTCCTCCTTCCCTTCCCCTGCCCCACGGCCTACCATAAGTAGGTGCCCACCCCTTTCACACATCAGCTGTTTGTTTGTCGTTGTCTGTCCTGTCGCGTCAGCCGACCTAGTCTGCCGACTTCAGTTTCCCTCTGTTCATTTCGTCTGACGACGGGTCGGTGTCACCGACGTGAAAATTTACGAGTACAACTCAATTTTCCGAAAAGCCTTCACTTTCTCATTATATCATCTCGGAATGCACACCACATCAGTTATTCATATATCTATATGTATATGAATGAGAATGCTCAATGGAAAATCGACTTGTACTGGCGTGTATACTGTATAGCCGAATACAAGCCGATTTTCCGAAGAACCTTCTCCTTTTCATGATATCACCTCGGAATGCACACCACATCAGTTATTCAACATATTTCTGGGCGTCAAACGCTTATCCTTAACAGACTTTGGGAGAAATTTGCACAGAGGCAGGCGACGACCTACGAACAATTAAATTTTCGCCACCGCTGTCGCGAACATGGTGTCCTACCTAAGTCACTCCGATTCCAGCCCACCCTACCCAATGAGACCGGAAGATAACTTGCGCGCCAGTATAGATTTCGTGTTTTGAGTGCCGTTATATCCGACGTCCACCATCGTCTTTGCCACTTTGAAGCAACAATTTTTGACCTTAGAAGTCGATGCGTCTCGTGCTTACCTGAGAACGTCATTTCAGAACTACTTCATCGAATAAACGCCACCACCAAAGACGCCAGAATGAAGAAACGGGCCGACCTGCAAAAGAAATTACAATCTCTTTTGTGCACGGCCAGCGAGAACCGAATGTCCACGAAGGTTGTTAATCTTTCAAAAAGGGACCTATCTTCTACTGAAATAAGTCTCCTGTCTAAGGGAATAAGATTCAGTCACACCGATGCTGCACCTACGGACTTCCTAGCCAGCCTTGAATCCCTCCTTCTGACCTCAGACGTCCCTGACGACATGTGTGCGGACATTCGCAGTTGCGCCACTGGTCTCCTTCGACAGAGGAAACATCACCAAACCCTACCGACCGAAGAGAAAAAGGCGTTGCGATCGCTAAAGACAGATGACAAAATAGGTATTATGTCTGCTGACAAAGGAGGAGCAACCGTTATCATGGACAAGGTTGACTACGTCAACAAGGCAAACCAAATCTTCGATGACAGGGAAGCCTATGCACCACTTGCTGCAGATCCAGCGAAAAAGCAAGCCGCGACTATCAAGAAGAAAGTGAATGAGCTTGCCCGATTGAAGCTCATAAGCCCCGATGTCAGCAGATCTATGACCCTCAATGACCCCCGTATCGCACGTGCGTACGGCCTTCCAAAGGTGCACAAGAAAGTTGCGTCGCTGAGGATCATTGTGCCACTTATTGGGTCCCCTACTTACAGCCTCACCAAATGGTTATACAGACACTTAAATCACTTCACTAATGGGTCGCAATACAGCATCAAAGATTCTCAGGCTTTCCTCCAAAAGATCCAACGCCCTGAAGTAAGTCCTGACGAATGCATCCTATTGTTCAATGTTTTTGCGGTTTTCTTCAAAACCGCATGAATTGGCAATCGATAGCCTCAAGAATTATTGCCAGTTAGATGACAAGTATTATCAGCAAGTAAAAGGCACCCCAATGGGCTCCCCAATATCGGGGCTGCTTGCAGAACTAGTCTTGCAGCGACTATAACAGGATGTTGTGCACACCTTCGAACCGAAAATGTGGCTCCGCTACGTAGAGGACACATTGGTCATCATAAAGATCAGCGAAGTTAAGCCATTGCAGTAGAACTTAAATTGCGTCTTCATGGCTTTACAGTTCACTCGCAAAAAGGCAACAAAAGATAACCTCCCGTCCTTAGATTTGAGTATACAAAGACTTAGTTATGGCAAACTAGCAACAAGCGTCCACCGAAAAGACTCATGTGCCGAAATCATCCCTAACTATGGTAACAATCATCTTGGGGCTCATAAACGAAGCTGTGTCCGCACTCTTTTCCATCGGGCCTATCATATCTGCAGGTGATAGCTTACTTAAGAATTGGCCTAATTACATCAGTTATTCCGCTCCAACGGCCAATTTTGTAGCAAATTGTCTCAGGCACCAGAGACAACCACCAAGCCCCGCGTCTAATGTAGGTAGTCTCACAAAAATTCTATTCACTGTCGTACGTTCAAGGACTTTCTGAAACACTCCCGGCAATTAAAACGCTTTGGCATCTCCATTGCCCACAAGCCCGCATCTTTCCTACGCGAGGCATTATGACAAGTAAAGGACTCGGTGCCTAAAGAACAGCTAACTAACGTCATCTACCACATCCCGTGCGCCAAGTGCCCTTGTGTTTATATTGGACATACAGACCGATGACTTGGGAATCGCATTAACGAGCACAAGTTAGCCCTCCACCGACGTGAATCTTTGTCTCTCGTGTTTGTACACGCCCCTGGATATGGCCACCGCTTTATTTGAGACGGTAGTGAAGTGATCGCAACGGCTAAGACCAGACAGGAGCGAGAACTCCCCGAAGCTTAGCACTCTGGCACGACCAGCATCAACCACCACGTCGATCTAGACGCTCACTACGAGGGTTTACGTACACGCTCACTGTCTTGTTCTCACACCATAACAACTGCTAACCCCCCACTCGGCCACATATAAGTATTCAGTCTTGACATTCCCTCTCCCTTGCGACACGGTGAACAACAACCGAAACCCCTAACACCAACGCCGGAGCATTGCCCCCTGACCTCAGCCCGCATCAACGACCAACCGCCCGCATTCCCACTGATCCGCAATTCTCTCGCTCTTTCTCCACCTCCAACACAGGGAGCCCTAACGGTTCTCCCTTCCCTTCCCTCGCCCCAAAGCTTACCATAACTCGGTGCCCACCCCTCTCACGCATCAGTTGTCTGTTTGTTATTGTCTGTCCTGCCGCGACAACCGACCTAGTCTGCCGATCTCACTTTCTCCCCTCATAATTTGGTCTGACGACGGGTTTGGTCACCGACTTGAAAATTTACGAGTACAACTCGACTTTCCGAAAAGCCTTCTCTCTTTCATTATATCACGTCGGAATGCGCACACTGATCCATTGGAGCCCCGAAGCAAACAAGCTCCGTATGAGCGATAGGGATCACGAACAGGCGACCACCCTCCAGGCCGAAGTCGGCCAAGCTATGTAATAGCAGAAGGGCGGCGACAGTCTGGTAGGTAGATTGATACAGAACTGTTCCGGGCTTGTCTGCTTTCATTCAGCAGGCCATAACCCTGAACAACAGTTGGGACTGGAAACACAAACATGCTCACACACCTGGCACAGCTGGTCCACCACTGGCGTAGACTCCAGAGGGTGAGGGGGTGAACAGCGTGTTGAGATAGGGGCCGGAATCTAGGGCAGGTGTTGGGGGTTTCAGTTATGGTTCACTCTATCGGGGAGGTGCGGAATCCGTGATATTCTACATGGCTGAGCATGGAGTAGCAGTTGGTGTCTTAGGCCGGGCGCAAGACAGCGACCCGTGAACTCAAACCTTCGTAGGGAGCGTTAAGGTCGACATGGCAGTTGATGCTGTTGTTTGAATGCCAAGCGTCGAGAAATTCTCGCGCCTGTTTGGTACTGGCACTAGCGATCACTTCAGTCCCGTCCCAATTGAAGCGATGGTCGCATTCAAGAGCGTGCGCAAACACGAGTGACAGAGGGTCATGTTGGCGAATGGCTAGTTTATGTCCTTTAATACGCGTCCCAAGTCGTTGGCCTGCATGATCAACATAAATATTCAAGAGACAAACCTGCCGAATCGTCCGGCAAACGCGTACCGTAGAGAGAATAACAGGCTGGACTCGGACCAAATTATACTGCGTTGGTGAATTTCTAGGCCGAAGCCCTGCAGTTTGTACAAAGCATAGAGTCGGAAATCATGCCACTAGTCGAAATACGCTCAAGATTTATCTGACAGAAGTTTGATGAGGCAATTATGCAAAATTACGAGTTAAAAAGACGACTTTATAAATGAGCGTGCAGTCTAAATTGTGTATGAAAAAATATTTTTCACAATTGCATCAGAAATTAGAAGAAATGCCCACGCTCACGTTACATAACCGATGAGACTTATAAAGAAAGTTAGAATTATGCAGGAGATCAGTGTAAAAATATGTGACACGGCTCAAGTCGTGACAGTACGGTAGTTAGGAGGAAGTCCAGTATCGTTCAAGCGCCTTCGCCGACGCAGCAGTAGCCGGGGAACACTCTTCGCTAAGAGACGCACAAAGATCAGAAGTCCGACTAATACAGCAAAGCTCAGGACTCCGTAGGACTCAACATACATGTAATAGGGGTTGCTACCGGCCTTGCATTGTTTACAGGGCTGCAGAACCTGTATTACCTGCACGACAATGCCATTGGCCATTTTGTCGGCAAATGACATGACGCCATACACGAAGGCACCTGTTGACTGATTTTTGTGAATCAGGTCACCCACCATGGCTAGGCTGGTCACCAAAAGGATAGTGCAGCCCACACCGAGGATACCGGCTGCCAGATAAATGCGCCAGAGTTGGACAGGGGAGCCTGGGAAAAGCGTGAGGAGGCAAAATGTCATGACGAAGGCGATCCCGATGAAACACGCGAGCTAAAAAAAGAGTGTGGCAAGTTTAGTGAAGGAGCAAACATAATCTAATCAAGGCATTCTGTGCTACCTATCGGGAAAGTCGTCCCACTACTTGAAACTGTTGAATACTATTTACAGATTACAATTATAAGCTGAACAGAAAGTGTGACAGATACTAACATTGGGAAAAACAAATAGGTGATTCATCAGACGCCAGGAACTCTTGCCGACAAAGAAAGATTTCAGGAACGAATTCTGGCGAATCATCCGTTACCAGAAAGACAGATGCCAACTCCCAGCCAGAAATATCCGTCCTAAAGGCAGGATAGGCCGGAAAAAGGAACCCCAATGAGATTCGTCAGTAGCCGTGAGAATCCATACGTGGATTCTTTCGCTGGAGTGTAGTCATCACTGCAGCAAACTGGCACACTGGCCTAACAGTGTCGAGACTCGAACTGACCACATGCAGGGATCGGAGAAAACGCACTTACATGGCCAAATTAGAGACCTTGACTTAAAGCGTAGATGAGGAAAAAACGAATACCTGGAAAAAAGGCTGTTGAGACACGGAAAAGCATTTCACAAAATCAGAGTGACTGAAAGAGGCATAACTACGCACAAGTAAGATAAACAACGTCGACATGTATACATTATAGGTTGACATCCATGCGGTGCCTGAAACTGCCACTCTGAGTTCTAAAAAGGCCCACGTCAGGCCAGCGGCGTGAAGGTAAACTATGAAGTGGTGAACTTGTGATTAAATTCAACGTCAACAGTAGACTTGGTCAATGTTTCAACCCAAATGGCTGAGCTTTTACCGATATTCTAAACAGAAAGACGGCGTGCAAAAGGCGCTAAAAGAAAGTTATTCTATTCCATCAGGAAGACATCAACTATCCGCCATTTTTAAAAGTTACACCTTGATGCAGTCCATGCAAGTTAGGATTTTT